TATCCATTAGAAAGTTGCAAATCACAGTTTTACTGCGATTTACCTTAGCCGCAATCGCCCGCTATGACAAACTTTGATTTTGGAAATCTAGAATTTGAACACACTCAACTTCGGTAAGTTTGCTTGCTTTAGGCATGGTGACGCCTTTATGCAGTGATTGGTAATCTCTAACTGAACTAAAAACATTGGAATTACCCTAGATCTAACAATTTATACCCCCTGGTCTTATAATTTTGATCAAGTGTAAAACGGCTCATTTTATAAAAATGTCTATTTCTGAATAAATTGATCGGATTATAATTTTTTGTCTACATACCCTTTTAGATTATAGAATTAGAAACTTTAAGTAAAAAAAAGTTTATAATGTATCCATGACAAACAGTCTCTTATAAAATTTTTTCAAGTGGTCTTAAATTTTTGATCAGGAGTGTATATATATATATATATATATATATATATATATATATGGAGAGAGAAAGAGAGAGAGAAAATTAATCCCTCGAATAACGATTAGTGCGTCTAATTTGTACATCGTTAACTATAAAAAATAGATTTTCAATCCCTATGGATAAACTGAAGAATGTTTTATCGCACTAATTGAGTATTATATATGCACTAATCGAATTGTTGTATATAAAATTTTAGACCACTAATCGAAAACGCATTAATCGAATGCGCCCATATCGAGGGATGTTTGTATAAATAAAAGTTTGTCGCTGATTGATATTACCTTCAGCATCCCAACTCCAGATTTTCGTAGAGATGGACCCTAACACCCACTCTTCAGGGGTTATCAGCAATTGACTGATTATATTTCTCGATTTTTCATGCACTGACCAAGATTTTCCGTATTGTCTGTGAGCGTTTGCGCGCGCGGGCGGCCATGCACCCTTCTGTGTGGATATGCATTCGCGCGGTTCCACCCATCTGCGCCAATGTGCGTACGTGTATATATATATATATATATATATATATATATATATATATATATATATATATATATATATAGTGGGGAAAATAAATATTCGTACACATGAAAAATTGTATTTTTATAAATGTAAAAGCCTTAACTAAAACAAATCTTGATACATTTTATGTGTAAAGATACATTTTATTAAAAAATAGTAATAAACTTAATTAATTCTTATTCTAACAGAAATTAATGCATTTTTTCATTTCAACTGATGAAAAAAGTATTCATACAAAACAAAAAAAGCATATTAACTTAATTTAATACTTTGAGGAATATCCTTTATTGAGTTCAACAGCTACCAGTCTATTCCTATACGTTTCAACTAATGATTTGCACACATTGAGTGGTATTTTGTCACATTCTTCTTGCCATATTGTCTTCAAATTCTTGATATTTGTTGGTGCTCTTTTCCCAAGTTAAATTTTCAAATATCGCCATAAATTTTCGATTGGGTTCAAGTCTGGGGACCGACTTGTCCATTGCAAGACATCAACGTTACTTTCAGCTAACCATTTACTTGTAGATCTAGCGGTATGCTTAGGATCATTATCCAGTTGGAAAACCCAATCAGGAAGTAACCGAAGTCTCTCAACAGAACGCATTAAATTGTCTTGCAGGATTTTCTGGTATCTTTCGGCATTCATCTTACCATCTATTATTGATATTCTGCCTACACCTTTTGCAGAAAAACAGACCCAGATCATGATACTGCCACCACCAAACTTTACAGTTGGCAACGTGTTCTTTGGTAAGTAGGCTTCACCGTCCTTCCTCCACACATGATTTCGATAATTATGACCAAACAACTCTATTTTAGTTTCATCTGTCCATAGTACTTTTTCCCAAAACGAATATTCTTTATCCTTATGCTCTCTAACGAATTTTAGCCTAGCATCTCTGTGTCGTTTCAAGAGGAGTGGAGTCTTTCTTAGGATGCGTGATTTCAGACTGTTTTTGTGTAGTTCATTACTTATTGTACGCTTGGTAACTTTAATCCCTAATGCACGCAGATGTTCCTGCAGCTCTTCTAGGGTAACCTGTGGATTTTGGTGGATCTGGCGTCCTAATATCCTTGCTGATCTTAGAGAAATCTTCCTCGGAGCACCTGTTCGTCTTTGGTTTTCGGCGTTGTTACGAGTTTTAAACCTTGCAATGAACGAAGCAATTGTAGTAAAAGGAATATTCAGGTTGTTAGAAATCGTTCTGTAACTGTTCCCATCTTTCCAAAGAGACAAAATGTGTTGTTTTTGTGAAATAGTCAATTCTTTACCTTTAGGCATTATTAGAACCTTCCCTAAGACTAGAAATTGCAGAATGCTCTGATAATGGCTAATAGCGTTAACTATAATTACTGATAACATTACTAGAACATTCTAGAATATATTTTTTTCATAATTAATTGATTATTTTATTCTAATAATTGATTTGTACGAATACTTTTTTCACCAGTTAGAATTAAAAAAAATACATTAATTTCTGTTAGAATAAGAATTAGTTAAGTTTATTATTATTTTTTTAATAGTATGT